TCTCGTTGTTCTGAATACGTGCTTGTAGACAAATATCACCGGATTGAACTTACGGCCCTTTATGTGGTTCCTATTTATGCTACCTAATCATTAATACAGAACAGTTTGGTTGTGGTTAATGTTTCAGCGTCCGCACCACAGTTTGTTGCCGAAAGAATTTGTCTCTCAGTTAGTCTCTACATATAATTTTGTTGTTACTGAAGTTCTGTATGAGAGCATTTGCTGTTTTGGAGTAGAGCTACTCGACCGGAGTGCCTACTCTAAGCCGAAAATAGATTGACGATCATCTTGTAAATAGATTGCCATCTGTACCGTATACACGTAGAGGATCAAGATGATTCTTGATGATACGCTTGACGTTTTTCTCATGTTCTTCATCGGTTCCTAGAATCATCTATGTAATCCGATTTCGTGTTTTTTCTTCTATCGTTTTACTTTCAGCCATATATGTACATAGAAACACATAGTAACTATAAAACCAAATTGCGCAGTCAACTCCTACTCAACCGGTCATGCCTTGTCCGGCGTAGACCTATGTTACTCGGCTCACTTTCCTTTTGCTTCATAAAAATGGGACGTTAACAAGGGTCCATTTCATACGTATCTTTAGGTGGTCTTACCATAGAATGTCCTCCAATAAGCCCCGCACAAAATTTGACGTTTCGACACATATGGGGCTCATATGTTAAGCGCTATAGCAGATGATCATCGAAGTCTTTCTAGCCGGCCCAAATCAAAATTTCTACCTGTTGACTATTCGATCGCTTATGTCGAACCGGTTGCGGGGGCAAATTAAAAGACATACACTGTGGTGCAAACAACGAAGATTTAGCTATACGCCATTAAATAACTTACGTATGCTGTATGTTATTGCTCTGTTATAGGAGATTCAAGTGAATAAAATCAAATGCTAAAAAATATCAAATAAACTGTATGAGGTTGTTATGAGGTCTTGTAGTTATACTATACTGAGCGAACGGTGAATGATCATAGTGCACAATGTGTTAGCATGTTTCAATATTTCAGCCTGTTTTAAATTGCTGACCAGTTCGCTAAAAGCTTAGCCTATTTGTCGAATTATGCCATTATGCATAGAATCATACAGTTATTTCTGTAAATGCTCCTTTTACGTGGATATATGTCAGATACCTACACGGGTAGGTATCTATGCAAGGTTGGCAACGACCTGAGGATACGATTAGGCCAAATGCACACTTCAAACAACGTTTAAACAATTATATCAAGGGCTATCGGCGCCAGACCACCCGTGATCACGTCTGTCATGGCTGCAACTGACTCAACTCATATCTAGATACGTACGGTGTTTCTTACGCTGATGCCCTTGACGGTCCTGTGAAGTCGAACGTCGTCCTACGCGAGCGAGAACTGTAGCCATTGACCATCAGTTCGTCTGCTTGTACTTGTGTCCCTCCTTATTAGACCTCTGTCGACGTTTACGGCCAGCCACGGGATGGACAGCCAACGAGTCGAAATTAGATACGCAATCCCTTCATATGGGCCAAACCTATTGTTGCCACCATGCATGAAGAGGGCGCCAAGCGCCGAGTACCACAGCGCATCATCGATGCATCGACGACGTTCTCCCTCCCCCAGTCTTCACTCACAGGTTTTCATAATCTGCTGTCTAATGAGCATCATCGGAAAAGCAACTGGGTGAGCCTGTGCGGTGAATCGGGAATGAAACCAATTCGAAGCTATTTTCGTTATTGGCGACCCTGTCTTGCTCATCGGTCGTCTTCGCGTAAATCTTCCCTTCCTATGTGTATTTCTGTTGCTGCTGCTAATAGTAATTTGTCAGGTCACCCCCGTACGCGTATTTTCCGTATCCTGCCTGTCTTTCGGCAGAGTGCCGGATCTCTGATCTAAACCGTCTTAGATCTCTCTGTTTTAGATTGTTGGCCAATTCACTAAACTTAGTCTATTTGTCGCTGTTTCTGAAAAAACGAACGCCTATAATAGTTCTTTTTCTGAAAATGGCGCTGTTCAAGAGAAAATCATTTGATTTTACAGGATGGACGAGTAATACTGACTGAGTCTATCCGCCTACCATATATAGCGCCATTCCTGTGAAATACTTTTTTAAAGCTGTTATTCTAATTCATGCTTAAAAATTACACGAGAATATGTAAATTAAACACACGACAAATATAAAAGAAGATTTAATTTGGCCTGGCGATATAATATCTGTAGTTAAGTAAAACCCTGCGCAAGAGTATGATGTGATAAATTCGAGGGATACAAAACTGGGCGAAAAAAAAGTAGAACTTACCCACGAGCTTTGATTCTCCGTAACAGGTTAACTTATCGGCTGTCTATAAATTTCCTTCTAACGCCATGGACACGTTGTCCATACCTTTTGCTTTCCATTTTGTGACGAGAATCGTGCTCAGTTCTATATATTCTATTCTAACTGAATATAATGTAACGCACGTATGGGTCAGTATGTGGCAAAGCAAAGTATAATTGACATATCTATTTAGAAAGCTATGCAGGAAATAAAATATATGTAACAATTTTACTGTCAATCACAAGACGATTCAAGAACATACCACACTTTTTGTTTGTGTCTAAAATAACGAACAAAATACTTGAACCCAACCAAACTTCTCTGTATTGAACAATTAGAGCATAGTTAGAACCACTTGACGTGGTGGTACGTTCAATTTCTGCATCCATTGTCTCAAAAGTTATCTAGATATAGCACGTCACTTTCATCAGGATTCACACTTCGTGATTTGTTCATCCATCGTAATGAACGGTATTATAACACATAAAAAAAAAAAGTCTCAGAACGTTAACTACTTGTTTTAGCCGAGCTATTCGTGAGTTGTTTCGGGTTTTCGAGTAATCTCCTTCGCTTCATCATTCGTACCTAAGCGATTCCACCTAGAGTCGCTAGCGCAGCGTACGCTTGTGCACACGCTGATTCGAGTTTTTCGTTCCTAATCGCCCACGACTTAAAGCTGTGCGTTTTTTCTATCAAAAAGGGCTTTACTGTGAACGATTCATTACCTGCCTCCGTTACAGCTATGGCGCCCGTTATGGCATGACTCCCTTTCTTACTTTCGACGTAAAGACTTCCCGTCGACGATTACCTATTGTACGTTGACTCGGTCCTGGCATGGCATTGATTGTTTTCAGGCCCACAGGGGCCGCCAAGTTACAATGGTTGTACCTTTCATTGGACCTACAAAGGAGGCCCAGGTCAACAGTGTAAGGTCTAATAATTGATGGCCATTATCGGCCACCTTCTGTAACTTACGGAACGTTTCTGCACCTAATAAGTCAGCACTACGAATCAATATTACTATTTGTGTGCATATACCGTTGATAGTCACCCATTTGCCTGAGTGCAAATCCCAAAATATACGAAGCCTCCTTTGCGTTGACGACATGCGATGACGGTGTACAGGGGGGCAATCATTTATGTTTATATTCTTTGTTAACACAAAGTGTCTACATAAGATAGGGATTATCGTGGAACAATTTTTTTACAATTACTCATTTATTAATTCGATTGAATTTGTACTCGATTCAAATGTTCAACCCAAAGCTAAACCCGATGCAAATGTCAGGTCGTTGGACATAGACTGTTCTGGGTGCAGCATCATTTTAGCAATAATGTTATGTATATAT